GGAGCGGCGAGGAAATGGTGATTTCATCCGTCCTCATCTGTTTATCTATGTTTCATTTTATTTCCAGTTGCAGTATGAATTTGCACTGTCCGTCAATAAATAAACTTTGATCCTTTTGTCCGGCGATGAACTACCCCCACCCCCACGCTGAAATGACCGATGATGCATACGCACGACACAACAGTGATGACACGATACTGTTATGCTGAGGATCACGGGACCATGCAGCTCGTAACAGCGACGACTAATCCACTGTTGGGTGTATGTGTTGGCATTTTCCGCGACATATTCCCACCGTCGGCCAATCATACAAACCTGTCAAGGGATGCCCCATGCCTCCTTGTGCGGATGTGACGGGCGTCTTGACTTAATTTGCGTGTGGAAGCTTGGCATGCAGCGTGGGGGTGGGGGTAGTAACTGAATGCGTCACAGTGCTTTGGCTACGTTCATGATTAATCTGTCCCTCTGTTTCTGGTCTGCAGAGATTCCATCATGGGAACTAATGTACTGCTGGGCCAGTCTAGCAGCTGCCCTCGAATAACAGTGTGTGTACCTCTCGTAGTCCAGTACTACCACACATGCATAAATTCATAATCTCGTTCGCCTACTTGCCACGGTACTACTACGTGCATGCTAGCTACCACATCACGTTAGGTGTAGCTCATCTACCACCGATTTTGTTGCCTGATCTGTGGTACGGTTCCTTCTCTTCTCCGATTGGCAGCTAGTACTTACCTGCTAAAGAAATCTTAAGTGGTTCAACACTTCATCCAAACGAGATCCTGTATGCATGCATGTATGCTCACTTGACCTGAATGACACAGAGAGTGAGATCGCTCCTGTGTGATTAGAACAACCTGATCATGGCGTATTTGTGTGAGAAGATCTGTGGCTTAATTCAACCGCCACCGTCCCTCGGCCTAGCTAAACTCCAACTCTGAACACCATCATCAGCTTGTTGTTGTTAGGTGCACGATCGCTAGCTCTTCCACGCATATGCTAGTACAAGAACTTGGTTGGTTAGTCAGTATCATCACTGTACTTAATCAATTGTTTACATCCATCGACCTGTGGTGACGTGCTCGTATCAGTCCCCCGCGACGGCGACGTGTCCACGAGTTTCTCCGTCAAACGCCAGCAGCTGCTGAAAACCACCTACTCCTACTCCAGAATGAATTTGGAGCCCATGAATTAGTTCCAGGTAGTAACACTGAGGAAATTACCCGATCGATAATTAATCAATCTATTTTTTTTGAATTTTATAATTAATCAATCTTGCCATGCATGCGTGCCCCATTTATTCTCGTCCTGATATCGCGTCCACGACAGAGCAGCGTACCATGGATATATACAAGAATAAAATTTATCTCATATACTTCCATGCTTGTTCATAATCAAATGAGATGAGTACGGCAGCTCTAGGTGAGGGTAACGTCTGGTATGGTGAGCTTTCATCCCTTCTGGGCAGTCGTAACGGAAACAACTGGTGAGTGATGACTGCTTGACTGTGACTGGTGAGAATCGATAATCATGGGACGAAGAAATGTGCGTTCGCGCATATGCGTGTCCTCTACCTGGGTGGGTGGCAACCAATTCAATCCAAACTGAATACCACTACTATCCATTTTGGTTTCTGATTTCTTCTTCCCTTCGGATTTGCATAGCGATTCATATTTAAAGATGCTCAAAGCTCCCCAAAAAAAAAAGCAGTGTCCAAAGCTTTTTTATCTTCTTCTTTTTTTCAATAGAAGTTTTCAATCTATTCAGCAATCATGGCAGTATAGAGAATACAAGAGGTCATGAAAGTTTCAACCAGATCTATGGACCATCTAGCGACGACTACAAGCAATAGAGCGAGCCAAAGGCCGCGCAGCGCGTCATCGCTGGCAGGCGAGCCGCGCGAGCGCCGGCGGCGGTCGCAGATGCAGGGCTGGCATGCGGGGACAGAGGCAGTATGCTGTATGCCTACGAGTCAGTTTCCCAACTGGGTGAGAACCGTAGGTTTAACTAAGGTGGAATCGGACCTGTTCGTGCCCGTGCCTGACCATACCAATTGTTTCGTGCAACAAACTGAGTTAAACCAACCTGTTATCAAACTGGTTCCGTTTACACCCGAACCAAAACAAAACTATAAGGCAAAACTGACCCAAAACACCCGGTTTAGGTAAAAACCATTCTCAGATTTAGGCAAAACTGTAAGGCGATTATTTCTTTTTCTTCTCTGTTTTTGGTTCTTTTCGAATTATTTTTTCTTCCACTTTTATTTTTATTTTTCTAGTCATTTTTATTCCTTTTTAGAATTCATGACCTTTCAAAATTCATGAGCACCTTTTATAGTTCATGAATAATTCTTGAAATCAAGGAGCATTTTGAAAATTTGCAAACGTATTTTATAAATCATGAACATTTTTTAAATTTGCAAGAAGTTTTTAAACATTCAAGAACAGTTTTTTTTATTCCATCAAGAATTTTAGAATTAAGGAGCTATTGCATGTTAGGAGGCTTTGGCCTTGGCTACTGATCTCAATATTTCCCATGTGGTGAACGTGTATAACTGAAAAGATGTGGTGGAAGATATCAGGAATGGTACATCATCAAAGAGATTTCATCCGCGGCAGCTAACTTGGATCTTACTCTTTCATCGTTGAAAGTAGGTATTCTAGCTTGGAGGTGCATAGCCTTACTAAATACGCTCTGAGTCTTTCCAGAGGTCGCCACTTATGCCTCCTTCAGCCTCCTGGTTTTCATTGTATCTGTATGAACATTGTTACTAATTAATAAAGTGGAGCGCGTTTAATCTAAAAAAAGATCTTGCATCACACATCAGAGATCAACATATAGATCACGGACTATAGGAACAACCTACAGCTATACCCATTTGGGAGTTCGATTCTCGCATAACATGCACCATGAATCCTATATGTCACCTTAAGCAATCAATGGTCATCGTTATATATCGTCAATCACTGGTTTCATTGCTTCATCATTATATACCATCAATCACTAATTTCATTGCTTAATTTTTTTCCTCCATCCACGGCCATATGTTCGGTTTCATGTGACTTTGCTCTTAGCTGGCTTGATCTTCAGTGTGTGCTAGTGTTGGCTGTGTGCATTTTAATTATGTAGAGGTGAGGTGTGTGACCATTATGTGTATATCCCCCATCCTACAGTATGAGTAAATAAAAAAATTGTCCTTTATCAGGAAGAACAACAGCAAATCTGTACGCGGCAAGTGAGCATTGTCCGCTAGGCCATCCCGATAACATGTTTCATTTTTTTAATCTATTTCTAGTCCTTTTCTGTTTAATGTTTTTTCCCAGGTTATTTTCTTCTTTTCATTTATCTATGGAAACTACTTGAATTACATGAACATATATTGTGGCACGCAAGAGAAACTCTGCTCAAATGTATGAGATTATTTTCAAATATATGAATACATTTGTTTTCCTTACGTGCAAACATTTATTTTAAATAAGAGATGAAGATTTTTTTTGGATATATGAACATTTACATTCAGTTCCATGCTTATTATTTTGTTGTGCATTATGATTTTTTTTCTTGATTATTAACAAGCAAATTTGGATGTAATACTATAAGAATCTTTAAATATTTTTGGATTTATTTTTCAGGATAAAAAAAATACGGAGTAATGGGCATGTAATCTCTTTCTGAGAGAGATTCCAGACGACGAGTGGGCCTGGTGTCCGCAAAGCTCCGAAGACGACGAGAGTCGTCGGCTGCTGCTAATGGATACAGGCCCAGCCCCGAGCCACTCATCCATCCGGGATGATTAGCTTAACTTGGATTTACTCTTTCATCTTCGAAAGTAGGTATTTTAACTTTCGAGGTGCATAGCTTCACTAAATATGCTCTAGGTCTTTCCGAAGGTCGTCACTTATGGCTGCTTCAGCCTCCTGATCTTCATTGTATCCGTATGAACATTTTTACAAATTAATAAAGTGGAGCGTGTTTAACCTAAAAAAGGATTTTGCATCACACATCAGAGATCAACATATAAATCATGGACTATAGGAACAACATATAGCTATTCCCATTTGGGAGTTTGATTCTCGGGTAACATGCACCACCGATGGTCATTGTTATAGACTATTTTCATTGTTCATTGTTTATAGACTATATATGTTTGGTTTCATATGAATTTGCTCTTTGCTGCCATGATCTTTGGTGTGTGTTAGTGTTTATTTTGTGCATCATAATTACGAAGGTGTGTGATCATTGTGTTTGTATCCTTAGATGCTACAATATGAGTAAATAAAAATCGTCCTTTGTCAGAAAAAAAAAACAGAAAATCTATACACGACACGTGAATGTTGTCCACTAGGCTGGTCCCGACAACATGTTTTTTTAATCTATTTCTTGCCCTTCTCTGTTCAATTTTAATTTCGCATGCTATTTTCTTCTTTTCATTTATTTTGTAGAAAATACTTGAATCCACATGAACATATTTTGTGGCACACAAGAGACACTCTTCTCAAATGTATGAGCTTATATGTTCAAATGTATGAGTGCATTCATTTTCCTTATTATGTGGGAACATTTTTTAAAAAATTAGAGATGAAGAATTGTTTTTTAAAATCATAACGTTCAGTTCCATGCATATTTTCTTGTGTATTATGATTTTTTTTCTTGATTATTATCAAGCAAATTTGGATAATACTATAAGAACCATTAAATATTTTTTGGATTTATTTTTTTAGAATAGAACAAACAAAAATAGGTGAGGTAATGGAAGAGAGAAAGAGGGCCTGCTAATGGATACAGGCCCAGCCGCTCATCCATCCGGACCCAACCCAATCCAATCCCCAAAGGAAAACCCTTCCTTCTTCCTCCCCAATCCACCCTTGTCCCCCTCCTCTTCCTCTCAGGCGCCCACCTCCTCCCCTGCCTGCGGCTCAAGCTTCCGTTCCCCTCCAGGCCTCGCGCGCAGAGGCAGGGCGGCGGCGTTCGGTTGTCTTCTCGGCGGCGGGCGGGCAGGCATGGGCGCCAGCGGGGGCGGGGAAGACAAGCCCTTCAATTTCCTCCAGATCCTCTGCGGTGCGTCCTCCTCCTCCTCCGCCTCTCTCTCTCTCTCTCTCCCTTATTCTCCATCTCCATCCGTGGATTACTTTACTAGTGGTTCACTTTCGCCTTCTGCAACCTTACTGATAGTTCAGCACACTAGCTAGCTAGCTAGCTTTGCAACTGCATACTACTACTGATTGCTTTGCACATACGGTTCAGAGTTGGGTCTTATAAAACCATCATGTGTCCAGTCTCAATCTCAGGTAGGATAGGACTGGTAGGTGTTGCTTGTTAGGGCCAGAAGCATGCTTTGTCGAGCATATTTCTTAGGGCCACAAGCATGTCCGCAGTTCCCCATCAAGAAAGCAAGCAGAGCTTCAGAACCTCCTAATTGCAACTTCAGAGGTGCATCTAATTGGCACGAAAATATTCAGTGTCCTCTGACCTATTCAATCTTCTTCCTCGAAATCACACTCAGCTTTTGCTAATAGAGCAAGAGACAGGAACATCATCTTTCTCTCAAAAAAAAAAAACATAATTCACACTGGCCAACAGCGGCGTACCCTATCGGCTGGCTTGCTTAGTTCAGATCCCCTCCTGTTAGCAGGCCAGGCAGGACAAGTCAGCCAAGCCGCTTCGTTTTTGCGGAGGCCATTTACGTGGTTTTTGCGGCGCGGACGAAGCGGGCTCAAGGACGCCCGTTTCCGCCTGCATCTTGACCTGTAGTCAGTCAGAGACCAAGGAAACTGATTCTGTCTACTGTTTTCGTCTGCTCCCTTGCAGAGGGCGTCATAGCCGGAGGAGCTGCCGGGGTCGTGGTGGAAACGGCGCTGTACCCCATCGACACCATCAAGACCAGACTTCAGGTGAACCACTTATGCAGTACCCACTTTTTACTGTCTGAAGATGTGCAGTTCAGTCCTCCATTTTTTTTTTTTGCAATGGCCGGTCAATTAGACCCCAGAACCTGCTCCCAAGCAGCACGCTACCTTATATTGATGCCCAACATTTACATGGCTACTTGCTTAAGGATGCCAATGTCTGACAGTGCCTGCACCGCAGGCCATGTCTGAACCCGACGTAAATCTAAGTTCCCAATGTGGACAGGCCACAGTATTTTTATGCCTACTTCTAATTTTTCACTGACAAATAAAATTACGCCTTTCATTTATAGTGTGACAGTATCACTTTTCCCTGTTTACTATCTACTAGAGTTTGCTCTGAGAAATCTTATTCTTTTAAATGTTCATGGCTTACAGGCAATGCACAATTCCAGCATGCACATTTTGTCTGACTTGATTTTTTTTTCTTTAAAAACTGTAGGCTGCTCGAGCTGGAAGTCAAATCCAATGGAAAGGCCTGTATTCCGGACTAGGTGGAAATCTTGTCGGTGTTCTCCCGTGAGTCCACAACATGTTAAACAGTTATACAAGTACATGCATTATCTTCACATTGCATCTCCGTTGCATCACAACTTCTCATAAAATGTGCCTATCCATTGTTCATGGCTCCACTTCTGCTTACATACCATGAAATGAAAAGGCTCCCAAAATTGCCTCCAGTATATGCTGTTGTGATTTTCCTGAGCTACTTTATAAATTATTGCAGGGCTTCTGCTCTGTTTGTGGGAATATATGAGCCAACTAAACGGAAGCTACTGGACATGTTTCCTGAAAATTTGAGTGCTGTTGCTCATCTTGTAAGTCCATACACACGTTATGTTGGACTAGCTGATTGCTTACAGCGAGGGACACTCTTTTTTACTTTGTCATGTTTACACTAGCAAGCTTGTCTACGGCCCTTATAACGCTTAAGCCTAAATAATGTTATTTTACACTGTGTTTATGCATTCTTACTCCCTTAAGCATGTTGGTTTATGCCAGCCTTTTTTTCTGAATGAGGATGCTACAGACTGCAGGTGCTGTTGGAGGGTTGGGTGCTTCTCTCATTCGTGTTCCCACAGAGGTCAGTATCTTTTTCTTTTCTATTCCCTGTTCACTAAATGTTGTTTGCCATCAAAAATTGATTGCTTTGCGTTCAGGTGGTCAAACAAAGGATGCAAACTGGTCAATTCAGGACTGCGCCTGATGCTGTTCGTCTCATAGTTGCCAAGGAAGGATTTAGAGGTCTTTTTGCTGTATGTATCTTCTGAGCTCTTAGTTTGTGAACAATCTGTTGACCGATATTAGATCTAAGTTTTCCTTGCTATTTCATATATCAGGAGAAATATAATGATTCAAATCCATTGATTTTCCCTAAAATATATATGGACAATTATTAATTTGATTGTTAAGAAAATGCGGTCACATTATTACACATCATCATCTTATCCATTCTAACACTAGTTTATTTTTGTTTGCAGGGTTATGGTTCATTTTTACTTCGAGATCTTCCGTTTGATGCCATTCAATTCTGCATATATGAGCAACTTCGAATTGGTTACAAGCTTATGGTACTTAGTCCATCACTGCGGATATACTAACTATACCTATTATTCATTCTTAGCTACTTCCATGAACACACATGCTCTTGTTTCTATGCTTCAGAACACTTACAGTCTTGAATTCTTGATATGGGATTGAGAACTCACACCTACATAGATTTTGTACCTTGATGAATGTTGTTCAGTTCAATAGCATGTCATAGATTTGGGGACATGATTGTTTCGTCGTAACATTGCATTGCTGACACATCCTGATGCCGGTGACTCAGTTATGCAAAATGTGTCTCTGCTTTCTGTTTCCATCAAATCCTATTAGTGCCCCGTGGAGCAGTAATTTCTGTTAACTGTTCTCCAACTTTATCTTTAACTGAAATTATCATGGACCCATTCAGGCAAAGAGGGAGCTGAAGGATCCAGAGAATGCACTAATTGGTGCTTTTGCCGGTAAAACCAAATTTCCCCCAAAAAAATTTGAACTTACATTCTTAACACTTATTGTATTTGCTTTCCCACTTTTCCTGCTTTTATATCCCCCTATTGGCCTAAGACTACTACTTTATATCCTGTACCTCATTTCTGCTAGGTGCGATTACTGGCGCTATAACGACCCCCCTCGATGTTCTGAAGACAAGGTTGATGATTCAGGTGGATCCTCCCCCCTTTAAATGGAACATTCCACAGCAAAATCCGCTTTTACATAATTGAGTACTGACCCACTTGTTCCAACTTCCATTGCAGGGGCAAACGAAGCAATACTCCGGAATCGTAAGCTGTGCTAAGACGATCTTGAGAGAGGAAGGCCCAGGGGCATTCTTGAAGGTATAGAACCACTGATATACTCCCTCCGTCCCAAAATAAGTGTCTCAACTTTGTACTAGCTCTAGTACAAATTTGTACTAAGCTCAAGACACTTATTTTGGGACGGAGGGAGTAGCTTTTATTTGTGTGTGAGAGAAAAGCAGTTTAAACTCTTTAAAAATACTCTATTGGATAATCTAATGCTAAGCACAATGCTTCTCATGATTTTGACGATGCTTGCAGGGCATCGAGCCGCGAGTTCTGTGGATCGGCATCGGTGGGTCCATCTTCTTCGGCGTGCTGGAGAAGACCAAGTCGGTGCTCGCTGAGCGGAGCAGCCGCAAGGCTGCGCTGGCGGAGAAGGACGAGTGAACCAACCGACCAAACCAACTGTGCATCCTATGCTGACTCACCCTACACCATTACCCGTTCCTTAAACCTGAAGTTTTGCTCCAAGTTTATGTGGTGGGCTTTGCATTTCTCGTTCCAGAACTATAAGGCATACAATCAGTTTCAAGAGTCTGTCTTGACGTCGGCGATGGTTATGATCCTTTATGAGTCCCTGTAAACATTACTCTCCTTTAATAAAGTTTAGCAGATTGTTCTTCAAAAACTTCTAATCTGAAGAGGGGCCTGCTCTGCCCCTCATGTTGCTTCTGGGTATTCTTTGTCAATTTTGATCTTTACTCTACCATTAATTATTGCATTCACAGAGACTGCTTAATTATCACACTTGCGCTCTTTGCACAAACCACTGTTATTCAACAACAACATATCAGGAGTCATCCTGATGGAAAGTGGAAATCCAGACATGGCCAACCAGTCCCAGGACAGGCATGACAAACCTACCTACAGGAAGGAGCGCATGCGAGGGCGCACGATGGACTGCGCGCCGTCGACGTAGATGGTGGTGCCCGTCATGAAGCGGGAGTCGTCGCCGACCAGGTACAGCACAGTGGACGCCAGGTCCTTGTCCGGGTCCAGCCACCGCCGCAGCGGCATCACCTCCCCGGTCGCCTTCTCGGCCTTCTCTTCCCCAACAGAGACGGGGAACTTGTCCCCCAGGTGCAGGCCGCGGCAGACGGCGTTCACCCTGATCTTGTGCTTGCCGAGCTCCATGGCCGACAGCTGAAAACACAAAGAACATCATGGCAATGTAGGCATTCAGGATTTCTACGAGCATCCAGGATTCTTGGACAACAGGAAGGAAGGCTTACTCTGACGAGCTGGTGAACGGCGCCCAAACTTGTGCCGTATGCCGCCGCCCCCGGATACAATCCTCTCTCGGCGCCGATGATCTGGGTCAAGCACACCACGGAGCCGCCCGACTGCGCATCCCGGAACCGCATCGCCGTGGCCTTTATCAGGAGCCAAGGTGTGATTACATTGACTTTCATGGTCTTGTTGTACTCATCTTCAGTTACGCTGAGGCAGTCTTGCACTTCCCCTGCTCATACAGTCAATCACACATTTCATGGTTGGAAGAGGTCCACGGATGAAATTAGTGGAATATAAGCTGACTAGAAGAGTGAGAGAAGATCTGAAGTTCTGAAGCTCAATTAGGATGATAGTGATCAGCTGGGCTTGGGCGTGTGTATAATTCAGTCAGACTGAAAATTGGGCATGTGTATCACAGTATCTGTCAGTAGTATGTGCATACCCTCGTAGGAGCAACAGTTGACCAAGGCGTGGAGCCCGCCGTCCCCGAAGCAGCGCCACGCCGCGTCCACCGCGGCGCCGACGGCCGCCTCGTCGCAGGCCGCGAAGTCGAGCCCCACCACCGCGACGGCACCCTCTCCACCACCTGCACAGCGCCGCGCCTCCTCCGCCGTCGCGGCCAGGGCGCCCTCGTCGCCAACCAGGACCAGCCTGTACGCGCGCGCGCGTAGATTCAGAACCGAGCAACAGGAAGAAGAAGAGGGGAGGAGAAGGGGAACGGCGGCGAGGTGAGAGGGAGTACCTGCATCCGTGCCTGGCGAGGCCGACGGCGAGCCCCCGCGAGACGGCGTCGGCGCCGCCGTTGCAGGCGAGCAGCACCCGCTTCGCGTAGGCTGCGTCGGCAGCCATCCCCCTTCCCCTTCTTCTTCTTCCCGGCAGCAGCGTGTCAAGTGCGTCGTCGCCTTGCTGCGTGCGTGCCACGTGAGAGTTATAACAAGACAAAATTTACCCAGTCATCATCTGCAATGCTGGGCCACGCCATACACGTTGGCGTTAAAAAAAAATTAAGAATCTCATATAAGTACCAAACGTACGGTACGAGCACGTGCCAGCAGTGGCGTAGCTAGAATTCTGAGAAAATTTTTCTTTATCATGTTATACTTTGCAGATTTCGAGTGTGTGCTTTTTTGTTGTCAAATGTTGTATGGCACTTGAATTAAGTAGAATTTTCCTAAGTGTGCACACCCTTCAGTTTACTTTTAGCTACCCCATTGCATGCAGGCTTCGAACGGCTTTCGAAGGCAAGTTTATTGACGTGAGGATGACAACATTAATTGCCAGGCAGGCATGATAACTTGCGTGCTTCAGGAACTTCCCCCTAACTTGCCATCCTCTCGTCAACTTATGGCCTGTTCAGATCCTCTCTGGCTTCACGCTTCACCAGCTCCGTGTGTGGAGCGATGCCGAACGGCTCAGCTCCGCAAAGCCAGCGTTGGGAAGCCCAGCCCTCCCGCAATGCAATTTCGTGGAGCAACGAAAGTGTAGCTCCTCCAAACGACGAAGAATGAGTTGAATGAATTTACACTAGAATGCCATTCTGAAGTGACTTGCGTACCGTTTCGATTAGAGAAAACACGCCTGTGCAAATCAGTGACCTCACGCCTCCAGTATCAGACAAGCCCGTGCCTCTCCTCTCTGGCCCATGCTGACGGAGCAGAGGTTGCCGCTGCTGCCGAACGGTTTGCCGCTCCCGTGTGAAGCTGGCTTGGCTGGCAGGTCGAGAAGCTGGCCAGTTTGGGAAGCCAAAGAACTTTCGAACGGGGCGTAAAGTTGCCATGAAAAACGTTAGGGCGGGTTGCCATATGCCTGTACCGAACGTTTGGTACTTATCATTTTCAAAAATTCACGGTGTCCTCGTCACCTCGTGAACGAACCGTTTTCCACATGCCACTTGTCCTCTATAGCTTGTTGTCATGCCCGCCACTGGCTCCCCCTTTCTATCATCTTTCTTATACGGCGACTGTCTCCCTCTTCTATGACCGAACATGCGAATATATGCCTCAACGTTTTCATCTCTTCTCCAATTCGATGAGGCGGTAATGCCGGCGGCAATCTTCTCCTCGTCCTTTGGCGAAGCAGGCACGATCTAAACACATCCATTGAGGTGGCGGCGGCATGGATTGGAAATGAAAGGCAGTCATGAGAGTCAAGGTTAGCTTTTAGTGTTCTCTATATATCAGTTTCCTCCCAATTTCCACCCACTCCCTTCTCTAATAAGATGGTGAAAGTTAGGGAACATGCTTTATGTAAGTCGTCTGAAAAAAATGGTTAGGTCGATTTTCCGGGTCATCAGATTAAAGATCCAACTGCCAACCTTCTTTCTTCTTCCTCTAGTTTTCTTCCTCCTAAATCGTTCCTTCTCACACAAAATACTTACCCAAACTATAAATTAAGCCAACTTACATGTAGCTACCATGGAAAGTTAGACTCTAACTCCCATGTAGCCACCACCGAGCGAAGCTCGCACTATGGTGGTGGCGGCGGGGCCTCCCCCCATTGCGCGGATCCCCTCGCGTGGCGCCCCACGGCTGGCGGCTTGCATCGTGTTGGTCCGTTGGCGCCTCTCCCGGCGTCCTGGCGGCCGGCGGTGCGCCTCTCGGAGACGGACCCGATGCCTCCGCTCCCTCCCGCGCCTCCTGGTGGTCGTCTTGGTGGTGCTCCTCCCCCAGACCCCACCTGGCGGCGGATTTGAAATCGCCTCCACGGCTTCTTCTCGCTGTCATCGCCGGTGCTGTCAGGTGCGACGTGTCCCCCTCCTCCCACCCTCTCCCGCGCTCCACCTCACTCGGCCACCCACTCTCGTGGCCCTGGCTGTCCGGCGTCCTCCCAGCGGCAGGACCTCGTCCCGGCCAGGCCTCCTCTCAGACTGGTTGTGGCTATGTTGTAGGCCCTCCTAGATCCGGTTGTCCAGCGTCTTCCCGGCGACAGAGCCTCATCCTGGCCATGCCTCTTCTCGTGCTGGCTGCGGTGGGCTGAGGCTGATGGCGGCGGATTTCGGCCTCCCTTGGCTCGATCTTGTCCGCGGTGGTTGTCGGAGGTGGTGGAGCGTCTGGTGGCACCCATCGTCACCTCCCCTGGTGCTGGGTGTGGCTCTTCTTGCGGCAGTTGTGGTCTTGGATTACCATGGTTTTCGTGTCTTCGATTCCTGATCCGCAACCTTTGGGATTGCGTGGACTTTGGCCGGGGCGAAAGCCCTGATCGGCTTGCCGATGCTTGCGGCGTCGACACCTGTGGGTATCGTTTCCTTCTTGGAGGCGCTGTCATGGTCTTTTCTCCGTGCCCCTACTCGAGTATCAGGGGAAACCCTAGATCTAGTTCAGTAGATCAGACGACGACGGCTCGTCATTGTACCCTTCATGAAGGTGTCGTCTTGCTGCTCGTGGTATGCTCGGTGTTGGATTCAAAGATTGTGGACGCTTTACTGGTCCGGGATGCTCCTCGTGGTGTGGGCATCTAGGGCGCAATGTACGGCCTCGACGATGCTCTTCCATGGCTTCTCCTTCCAATCCGGCTTGGTCCTGCACCCCACTTGCCGATCCTCTAGGCGCATAGGTGGGAGGTACGTTGATCCGGTCCGAACTGGAGTTGTGGTCGTGCGATGATGGTGCTCGGCGTCGGTCGCGACGCGGTCTAGATGCCTTGTATCTCGTCTCTTTGCCTTGTTGGCTAGAGTTCGAGTTAGGAGAGCTTTGTGCTGTGTGTATCTCTCTTTGTTTTTCCCACACCTTGGGTGGTGCTCCTCTCATTTTCTCATGTATGCCTCTGTTATTTCTCTCCTACCTATCAATGAATGATACACAAACTTTGCGTATTTGCAAACAAAAAAACAGATTACTTTATATCTTAGAACCCTTAACCTTCCATTCCCCTTGTCTAGTTAGCTCCAACCAAACATGGTTTTGCTGTTATTAAATAGGGAGATTTATATTTTCCCCTCTTATTTTGTCCCGACCTCATTTTTACCCCTAAATACCTAAATAGAAACAGTGCTCAACATGGTGAAGTAGGCAGGATCTAGACACATCAATTGAGGTGGTAGGGACTCTGTTTGGAAATGAAATGGAGGCACGCTGGTTAAGGTTAACTTTTATATATGGAATCGACTAGGCCATTGTAGACATGCATGCTGATATAGTAGAACCCATCAGAGAAGA